GAGGGGAGCTGCTGCATTGTAAATTTTGGTCAATGACATGAGACAAAGTATATGTGAACTGCTGTATGAAAAGTGAATTTACTCTGTAAATCTTTACCCAAATCCTAATAAAAAAAATTAAAAAAAAAAAAAAATTTACAATACACCAGGAAATACAAACTTTCCAACTATTTATACTTTGAAGAAAAAAGATAATTATCAACTTTTGAGTAGGAATCAACTCAATGGCACTCAACAACAAAATTATGTGAGGACTAAAAAGATTGTAGAAATTCTTTTGAGGATGTATGCAAGCAACAAAAACTTAGATCACTGCAATATACCCACTGCTTCACAAACAAAATATGTCATGGGCCAAAACACACAAAAAGATTGTAACAGTTGAGAAGATTCTAGAAACGGTCAATGCTTCTAGTTAATGGGTAGACTCAACTCACCTCCATTAACCAATCCAGAAGAATTGCTCGCATTTTAGGTTGCAGAAGAGGATGCCGCTGCATAAAGTGCTTATCCCTCAAGTACGTCTTTTCTTTGTTTAACATAATTTTCCAAACCTCCTCTTTATTTGCCCAGCTACAAAATATAAATAAGGGTCAGAAAGCATCCACACTAATGAGGAGAAGTGTGAACACAGAGTAGAAGACCTGGAAGCCATGCGGACAGTAAACACTTACTTCAGTACCGGCAGTGGTGAGGTTCTTGATGGTGCGAAACTCTGAGGTTCACAGGTGGAATTTGGGTATACCAGCTCATCCTCTTCTTTGTCAGGTGTGGGAATCAGGGAATAGGGGTTTTCACAGACTGTATTACTGTCCAAAGACTAGGAAAAACACACATTTTGTTTTTGCAGTTTGATGTATATTGGCTATTTTCATATTCACTGATTTGTAGATCAGCCAGTATTTGAAAAAATATCTTCATACTGGAGAAGTACCTCCAGGCCTAAATATTCTGGTCTAAATTAAGATGGAGGTAGTTTGAGTAAGTAAAAGCCACAGTAATGCTATCAAGTGTTTATTTCATTCCTTTCAGCAACTTAGGAGTCTGCATAGTAAATACTTGAGAATATCCTCCACATTACCACTCTTGTATAAGATACTTAAGCAACAAAATAAACAGGAAGGGAAAGATAAAATGCCAATATCCTTTATATTTTTTTAAAAAGAGCAACAAATCCATTTACAGCTCAATAAAATACTAGGCACGTCTTCCATAAATGCTTGGAAAAAAGATACACTGTGAGATTGTTGTGGTTGTTAGTGACTATATAGTGTCAATTCCAACTCATGGTGACCCTACGTATGCAGAGTAGAACTCTGTTTCACAGGTTTTTCAAGGCTGTGACCTCTCAGAAGCAGATCGCCAGGGTTGCCTTCCAAAGTACCTCTGACTGTTAAAGACATGCTTCTTCACATAATAAAGGCTATCAAGTAGCTGGTGTTTACACTCCATTGGATACATTTAAAAGTAACTTAATTAGCAACTACCAGTATTTACAATATTCTGGAAAATATAACCTTTGCAAGTATTTAAACTATGATGAAAAAGATTCATTAGATTTGAACTGCCAACCTTTCAGCTAGTATGGAGTCACTTAATCATTTGGTCCACCCAGGGTAAGCCCTGCTAATGAACTATTTGGTCACAGTTCAAAAATTTGTTTTTTATCAAGTATAACTACTCCGGTAAAATTTCTAAAAATTACAAGATAGAAAAATATAAACAATCATCGTTATTAAAGTCCCCCATTTTTAAACAAGAACGCATCACACGTGGCATCTTCCCTTGGTTACCAGGCTCGCCTAATACACTACACAATGGAGATCTTTTGTTTTCCTTTATTCAAAACAAAATAGAATATCTGCCTAGTTAAAAATCAGGCAATGGTCACAGGTTACACTGAGAAGTCTATGGAGACAGAGCTTGGATACTGATTATTTAAAATAACAAAGTGTCATAGGGTATGGAGAAAAACCAATTATTTTTTTACAAAGACAGATCAAAGAAACAACTTGAGTCCAAACTGAATTTTTGTCCAGTTTACCACTTATTCGTTTCTGTGGCAAAATCCTAAAGACATCTGAACACAGAGCCTGATACAAAGTAAGACTCAAATATCTGCTAAATCAATGAATCATTAAAAATCAAGCCAATACTGTTTTCTTTTAAAGTTTTCAGACACTCAATTTTACTGAATTTTCAATATTTGGAAAAGACCAAGGTCATTTTACCACTTGGAAAATTTTCAAGTTATTGTTGAACTTCATATTGTAAAAAGAAGCCTATGTTTGATCTTTTAAATTATAAAACAATGATTGTGTTCAAGATATGGCAGGTAACAATCCTGCCAGCAATAGAAGCTCCATGGAAGTTTGAGACGCTTGGCTTTTTTTTTTTTTTTTTGACACAGAAAAGACCATTAATGTTCACCGGGGGAGGGTACGACAACTGAGATGACTATAAATGAACATGAGAACTTGGGCTCTAAGTGCTACTTTAAGATAAGTACACAACAGCCATCACAGCACACTTGCCACCTTCAAGGAAGCCTGAGCCTTTTCAGTCTACTGAGAAAAGCATGATAAAGTTCTTCTCTACCCAATGTGCAAAGAGGTGGGCATGAAAATCATCCATCACAGCTCCTGCCAATAGCTGTGGGAAAAGGGCAACCTCCTCTCCTCCAGTTCTAGTATCATGTGTTCGTAGCACTTCCTTGACTCAGAATTATCACATTACAACTCTTCGAAGTTTTGCTCTTCATTCAAGAAGAATGAACCCCAGTTTTGAAGGCAGATGTTGGGCACCACCCATTTCGGCCAGATGTCTGGCACAGCTGAGAGCAGGCCTTTGAAGATAAACTGGTAGCAGTTCCCAACCTGCAGCTCATGGACAAATTAGGTGAACCACAAGTAGACAAATAGTTCCCAAAGCTGGCCTTTTTTTCTCCTTGTCAACACTTTGATATTTTAAAAATTTTTATTGTGATTGGGTGAAAGTTTACAAACTCATTTTCCATATAGCAGTTCATACACATTTTGTTTCATGAATTGACTGCAATACTCACAGTGTAACAGCTCTCTTCCCACTTCCTGTAGTAACCTATTCCCTGTGTTCTTCTTTTCTATGCATTCCTGTCCCGAGTTATCTCCATGTGCAAATTAAAAAAAAACCCAAACTCACTGCCATGGAGTTGGGTCCAACTCATAGTGACCCCTCCTTGGGTTTCTGAGGCAGTATCACTACGGAAGTAGATTGTCCACCCTTCCTTCTGTGGAGTGGTTGGTGGGTTTGAACTGTCAGCCTTCTGGTTAGCAGTCAGATGCCTTGGGCACTATGCCACCAGAGCTCCCTGTGCAAATACTGCCCTTCTATTCTCCCATGAGGAGCTCTGGTGGTGTAGTGCCCAAGGCATCTGACTGCTAACCAGAAGGCTGGCGGTTCAAACCCACCAACCACTCCTCGGAAGAAGGATGGGGCAATCTATTTCTGTAGTGATACCACCTCAGAAACCCAAGGAGGGGTTGCTATGAGTCAGATCCGACTCCATGGCAGTGAGTTTGGTTTTGGTTTGGATTCTCCCATAATTGATTGTTCTAAGGAATGTACCTACCTGCTGTAAATGTTCACCCTATATGTCTATTGTTTGGCTGGAAGCCATGGGAGTGAGTTCAATTTCAGGCCTGAAGGGTAACTAGGAGCTGTAGTCTCAGGGGTGTCACCAAAGCTGGCCTTTTTAAGGTGATACAGAATAATACAGTCTTAAGTCCTTAACCTGAGCGTACAAGTTTTAAAGGAAGATCAGCCTGAGTTTTAGGAAAGAATGAGAAGAGCAAGAGACCAATTGTGACTATTCCTAACCATTCCTGATTTCTTATGCCACAACTAAGGACAAAATAACCTCATGCAAAATTATTTTCTAAGAATTAACAAAGTCTCAAATTCTGCTCCAAAACTAATGTTGGGTCGCAAAAATTTAAACACAATGCGTACGTATGTTAAATGGACTTTAGATGTTGCTTTTAGGTGCTGTTGAGTCAATTTCAACTCAGCAACCACAGGTGACAGAAGAGGACTGCCCCTATTGGGTTTTCTTGGCTGTGATCTTTATGGGAGCAGATCACTGGGTCTTTCTCCCACAAAGCTGCTAGGTGAGTTCGAACTGCCAACCTTTCAAATAGCTAACCTTTAACTGCACCATCAGGGCTCCCTGGACTTTAGATAAAAGGTACCTTTTCACTAAGGAAAGCCTCAGAGAAGAACAATGGTTCTGTGTGGTCTTGATGAGGCAGTTACATGAGGCATGATGGCTCCAGGTAACTTACGTTGTTATACTGGGTTTAACCAGTAATGTTGTACTACTACACTCATGACTAGCCTGCAGAACTAACTCCTGAGAAAAACTCTGGGTTCTGTTGTGTCAACAAATTCTAGCTTCATGAATCTACACAGAACAAAGACATTGTTCCATAACAGATGGATAAATTTCAAGCTATCTATTCTACAAACACACAGAAACCTGTTCTCATTAATCTCTGGACAACCAGAGATACCTTCTAGTGGGAAATAATATGGCTATTCACATATCACAGCTTTCAACTCTTCAGAGTCCCAAGACAGAGCCCTGCCTTCATACCCTAAGAACTACTCAGATTATCTCTGAAACCAGAAAATACTTAAAAACACCAAGAAGTCAACCTGGATGGCTTTGCTTTATCTTCAGTTGTAAATTTTCTTTCAATTTTAAACGCAGCTAGGAAAATAAACAATTTTGAACCTCACAGTAGGAATTTGTTTTTCTAACACCTGCAAAATCAACTTGCTTATTAGGAAGTTTTTCTAAGAAAGAACTTAGGATATATTATCATTTCCTTTTCCTAAAGTGAAGTATTTATTCTAATAAAGAAATCATCTCCCTTGTTCAATATCCAGTGGATCTTCCCCATATTAATACTAAGGTCTTATGTGCAGTGACAACTGCTACAGCAAACAATGTGGCCTATCAGCTTTGAAGCACTTCATTCTTCCAGACCTAGCTGTCATGGCTATTGCTCACTGCTCTATCCCAGTCAGGACAACAGCAGTCAGCTCGAAAACTACTCCTGTACAGCTTTTATCTGTGACAGTGCCAGAAGGCCTGACCAACTAGTTTAGAGATAGACTGCTTCCCCTACGTAAGCCATTATAGTCCCAACCATTTCTGAAGGTAGAGAGATAAGGCAAGCTTTTTCGGCAAGGAACTTCTGATACTATAAGGATAGCTCCTTATATGCATGAAATTTGGCAGAAACTACTTAAGGAAGAGACAAGAGTAGCCAATGAAAAGAAACTAGTCAAAGAAAAATGTGTTCAGACATACACATCATTACACAGAATGTTCTATTAACACCAAGAGCAGGATGAGCCCCATCACAGGAGGTAACTGCTGGATGGGCTGGAAGAACTTCTAGGGCCAGAAAGAGGAAGTTTCCAAACCGGACCTAAGTAGGAGGTGGAGGTGGGGCAGCAAAAAAGTCCTTAAGCTCCATGACAAAACAATCTAAATGTGTATGTGAGGGGAGAGTCACTGCTTACACAGACATAAGCACCCATCAAAGTTACCCAAAGAGCTCTGTATCCAGAACCCTCCCCTCCTCCTTCATGAGTCTCTAGAGAAAAGGTTACAGGCCTGACTCTGCCCCTGACTTGCAATACAATCCTGGCTTACATTCTTCCTCTAACTGGACCTCAGTTTCCTCATTGATAAAAGGGTTAGGGGAAAAAAAAAAAAAAGCCAGTTGTCATGGAGTAGATTCTGACTCATGGCAACCTCGTATGCTGTAGAATAAAACTATTCCATAGGGTTTTTATGGTTGTGACCTTTCCGAAGCAGATCACTGGGCCTTTCTTCCTTCCAAGGCACCTCTAGATGGGGTCATACTGTCAATCTTTCAGTTAGTTTGGGCCTCCCAGAAACTCCTGGCTAAAAGGAACCAAAAAACCAAACCCACTGCCATCAAGTTGATTCTGACTCACAGACACCCTACAGGACAGAGTAGAACTGTCCTGTGGGATTTCCAAAGCTGTAAATCTTTACAGAAGCAGACTGCCTCCTCTTTCCCCCGCAGAGCAGCTAGTGGGTTCAAACCACCAACATTTTGGTTAGCAGCCAACTGCTTTAACCAGCATGCTACCAGAGATTCTTAGTTAAAAGGAAGGACTAATTTGATGTCCATTCTGGTTCTTCCAGACAGCAAATATCTATAATCTCATAGGATGCCAGTCAGGAACATAAGACCTTCCTGGAATGCTGAGGTGGGCAGAGGCCAGTGCCCACTGGTAGGCACAGTGCTCAGTTGTTTGGACTGTACTTCATATTAAAGAAAAGACTTTCAACAGGAGACAAGAGGTTATCAACCCAATTTGACCACAGAGGGCAAGGCCTTCCAGGTAGGCCCAATTAGCAAGCACATGTACCTGACTGCAACAGTGGCTTCTCACAGTCCTCTCAATTTTGGCAATTTCTTCATCTGGATCCTGCAAAAACTAACATAAAACAACCACCCACACACACACAGAAACAAACCAAACAACCCAAAGACAAAACACAGAGAAGGGGGGGGGAGTTGATTAGATTATGAGCACCATTTCTACCAAAGGCATCCCTGATCTACCCCCCTTTTGACAAGTTTGTGGGCAGAGTCAAGTCTGGTACCCAGGTAAGATGAGGAGGGTGGAGAATCCTCCCCCACCTGTCTCCTTTGTACTCACAACGGCCACATTTGCTTTCCTTTTTCTGGAGCGAACGGAGAAATCGGCGCTGCCTTCCTCTTTCATGGTGCCTCGTTCCTTCGCATCCCTACAAAAGCGAGGTGGCACCAAGACAGGGGTGAGTTTTCCCCAAATCTCGGCCCACCCCTCCCCCACTGTTGCCCCCCCCCCCAGCGGCCGGGCCACTCACCTCTCCCTCGGCATGGCGCGGGGTGCGGATCCGACTTGAGGCCTGGGGGGTACGAAGCGGGCAGTGGGGTGAGGGTGGCCAGCGGAGGGGGCCGGGGCCCGGCCGCCCCAGGCACCCCTCCCCCTCCCGCGCGGGCGGTGGCGGCGGGAGCCTCCTGGGCCGGCCGGGAAAATGGCCGATGGGCCCGGGGTGGCCTGTCACCCGGTGCGCCGCCAACAGCCCACGATCCCAGGTTCGAATCAGGGGTGATGGACGCTCGGACGCCCCCCGAAACCCCTACTGGCGTACTGCCTCCCTCAGAATCCGAGCTGCCTCAGTCTCCCCCTCAGCACCTCTCCCTCACACCGTCTCCCCGCCACCCTACCCGGGGGACCCCGCGCAGACACCTCCCGGGACACGGAGAACCGGCTTTCGCCCCACCCCCACTCCCGGCCCGGCCGGGGCGTTCAAGGAGTCCTGGACTGTCGCCCCTGTCCCGGCAGTCCGCAGCAGAGCTCTTACCCAAAGTCGTCTCCTCCGCAGACAGGCAGGCACGAGCCGAGGCAGGAGGCAGGAGGTAAGCTGGAAGCCGGGAGGTGGGAGGCGGCGGCGGCGGCCGAGCGCGCGGCTGTGGCGGGATCCGCGCCTCCCCCTACACCGCGCTGGATGCCGAGGCGGCTGCTCCTGCGCCCGGCTTCGAGCGGGACATTTAAAACTCCCTGCGCGCGGAACCGGCCCCCGGCCCGCCCTCGCGCCCTCCCGCCACCCTCCGCTCCGCCCCGCCCGGGCTCGGAGCCCCTCAGCGGCCGCCCGAGGGGACGGGTCCGCCCAGCCACCGCCCTCAGGACTTCCTCCGCCGCGGCGCAAGCCAGCTGAGGCGTTCAGGGATCTCCGGGGGTGGGGCTAAGAGTCGGGGGCGGGACCTCTCTAAGGCGGAGCCTGAACAGCGAAGCCCGCGCGGGGCGGGACGCGGGGGTGGGGTTAAGTGACAGGGCCTGCGCGCCAGAGGGTCACGGCGCGGGATGCAGTGGGCGGGACCAATGGGCAGGGTGGGGCCTGAGCTGCGGATCCTACGCGCGCGGGACGCGGGAGAGCGGGAGGCACGCGCGGTGGAGAGGCGGAGTTTCGCCGGGGCGGGGCCTGAGCGGCGGAGCCCGCGCGGGGCGGAACGCGGGAGATATCTGGCGCGAGCGCTGCGGAGGGGCTGGTCGTGGAACTCTGAGGGCGGGGCCGCGCGGCACTGGAGCAGCAGAAAGCCGCGTGGCGGTAGCGGCTGGAATGTAAACACGGCGGGCAACGAAGGCTCCGGCCAGGCCAAGGCTGTATTGAGGTCCAGGACGAGCGGATCCAGGAAAGGGTTGGCCCCGGAGGACTCCTCGTCCGTCGGCCCGCTGCGCGCGCGCACAGTCCTTCCAGGCACGTCCTCCCCGCCCTCGAAACGCAGGCAGGGTTCCGGGCCCTGGGTCCAGGACGGGGACGTGCCCAAGGTCATAGCGCGTGGTTGCCGGCCCTAAAACCAGGGCTTTCGGCCGCGGGTCTGGGACTTCTGTGTACCAGGTGTTTGTCCTGGTCGCATGTAGTCTCTCATCCATTTATCCATCTATGCATTTATTCATTCATCTGATATTCGAGCGCCTTCCATGTGGCCCTCCCTGAGGGCCCCTCCCCCACAATTCTTTCCCGGGGCCCCAGGCCTTTCAAACGCTAGGCTTCCATCAACCTTAGAGACAAATCCACTCTGTACAGTGCCTCACATGACCTGGCTCTTTTTTGCTTCTCAGACCTCTTCAACCCTCTCCTCACAGATGCCCTGGCCACCCTCTGCCCTTTTTCATCTCAGGGCCTCTTCAGCATCACTTGTACAGCTCATCCCCTAAGAGGCTTTCGAAGGTCTTCCGTGACCGCTTGACTTAAAGCACTTCTCTCCCCACAGGAGTTCCTGTTCATCTCATTGCCCTGCTGTGGTCCTTCACAGCAACTACTTTTTGCTTTCTTATTTAGTGTCACTCTCGCTGCCTTGTGTGTCTTATTCACAGCTGTATCCTCCAGCTCCTGGCATAGTGTCTGGAGGAAAGGGGCACTTAAACCTACTACCCCGTGACTCCATTCTGATTCATAAGTCAGAGTAGAACTGCCCCCAGAGGGCTTTCAAGGCTATAAATCTTTAGGGAAGCAGACTGCCTCATCTTTCTCCCACAGCTGGTGGGTTCAAACCCCCGACCTTTGGGTTAGCATCCAGATGCTTTAACCACTGTGCCTCCAGAGCTCCTTCGTGGGAGAGACAGGATTTGAACAATTGTCTCCGGAAAGTATTTTCTGTACTCAGTTTCTAGAGGAGCATTTAACAGAGGGTTCCTGAACACTGAGGTCCTTCCTGATCCCCAGTTTCAGTATTGTCTTCCTCCCCCCATGACTGGCTCCTTGAAGTTAGAAGCTGGATCTTATTGAAGACCATGACTTGTGTCTTCCCCCAGAGGTCCTGGTCAGGGGCTTGGTGACCTTCCAGGGGCTCTGAGGCCAACACAGCTGAGAAAACTTGTGCAGGGTAGCTTAGGTAGGTGTGTAACTCGGGCTGAGTGCGGTTTAGTAATAACAATTGTTGTGTGCTATTACGTTGATACCAACTTAAAACAAATAGCATAAACAGCACTTCCAAAATGACAGCATTGGTTTAAGTCCAACAAGGATCAGTCTCAATGAAACCTCACAGTGGCCCTAAGATATTAATACTATGATTGTGCTATTTAACAGCTGGCAACTATCTACTTCCTAGGGTCACTGTGAGAATTAAGTGAGATAAAGCAGGTGAATCTCTTAGTACAGTGCCTGGCACGTAGTATAGGAAGTGCTCGACAAATGACCATTATAATGATAGACAAGACACTTTTCCTTAGTAGTCGTAACAATTTGTACTCTTACTAGCAATGAATGAGAATTAAGACGCTCAGTATCCCGGATGACAGGTTCATCAACAGCAGAATGGCTAAATTTTGGTATATTCATTCAGTGGAATACTTCACAATGAGAAAGAACAAACCTCTGAAATATGTAGCGATATGGATGAATCTCACAGACATAATATGGAACCTTAGAGGCTGCCCAGAGCCGCTGCGGTACAGCTCTGAGAAATCGTGTGAGAAAGCCTGGGAAGCTTGCCTCCAGCCCTACTTCAGCCCTGGAAACTTGTCAGCTCGCACGCCTGCCAGGCCTCCGAGTCAAGGACCCAAATCCATGCTTCTCAAGGCTTGGTTACCACTGAGACTGAGCTCTCACTACTACTGTAGGTGGGGTTGGAGGAGGCGGGAGGAAGGCACAGGGAATTGGTAAACCAATGGGTGGTTCCAGCCCTGGCTTAAAAGCTTGTCACACTGAGGAACAAGCCCAGTGAACACGTCTTTAGACAGAAGGCTATGATCAGTTAAAAAGCCCCAATGAAAATTAAAATTGGCCTTAGCTCAGCATATGATAAAACAATGATACACCTTCTATATGATAGACTGCAGCTGGCATTTGCTACGCTCAGGGTTTCTAGGAACAGACAAATCTGAAGACACTTCAAGTGGAAGAGGGGGCGTTATGGCAAGTTGGAAGGGGGGGATATATCCACAAGCTACTCTCTCACCAAGGCCTGAGGAAAAAGAGCTTTGTTCTTAGTCTGAGCACCATATCCCCAGTTTTAATTTAAATCTTCTCATTTTGAGTTCTCTGAAAACAAGCAGTTGCATGACAGAGCAGGAGCTTGTATAGTGGAGACTCTGTCATCTCCACGTTGGTCGGTAGCCCACATACTCTTAGAAATGCCACCCTATGCACCTTGATTGACCAGGTGTGTGTGTGGGGGAGATCTAGCCAATCAGAACGCCATATTCGTGGCCATGTAATTGGGTCAGTGATAAGCACGTGACATAAGCTGGACCAGTGAAAATTGTCTGGGGTTGCTAGGCTGATAGGATGTGGCCTTGGAACTAGGAGGTCATCTTACCACTGGTCAGTGTCCTTGGAAGAAAGCCCTGGGGGGAGGGAGGAGACAGAGGAGCTGGGCGGCAGCTTCTGATCCCTTGAGCCCCTGGATCCAGTCATGCTGGAGACCAGATTAGTGGGGACTTTCAGGATTCAAAAGCCAATAAATTATTCTCATGCACTTTCTTAGCCAGTTAAGATGGGATTCTCTTAACTGCACCCAAGAAAGTCAAGGAGCGTTGAAGTGTGATGAACCATCAGACTGTCTAACCTGGGGCAGGCACTTTTGTATCCACCAAGGAGCCACCATTGAGGCTTTTCTCTCTAAGAATCGGTAAATCTACCCAGGTGTGGCTGACCAGCATGTGGTTCTGGGGGTGCCAGGTCTGGACATGGCCCTGGGCATCAGAGTCATCGTCTCAATTCCCCAGAAAGCATAACTTTCAGTCTGGTAGGAATCCACTGATTAATCAGCCTGGCAGCCTCAAGAATCCCCATATGCCTGCCCTAGGACAAGTGCTGCAGTGGACTGGCTTGGCTGTCTCCTCCAGGAGTTGCCAGGAAGACCTCACATGCTTTGGGGGCCAGTTGGACACTAACCAGGACTCCGCCCAAACATGATGGGACAGAAGTTGCAAACTGATGCTGGTACCCCACAAAGTATTAGATTAGAAATATTTGAATTTCTGTACACAGGAAGGTTTCTGACTGAGCCATAGGATGATTTGGCAGATCTTTACAGAGCAAATAGCAAGCAGTTGCCCTCTGGGTGGGGGAGCTCCACCCTATGGCTTTATGCCTTTGGATATCAACCTGCCCATTGTAACTGTCAGACTTGGTGACCTCACCTGGGAAATCAGAGCTGATCTAGAGCCAGCCGGATTAGGATAAGTAAACAAGAAGGAGGGAAAGAAAAGGGTATTGAAGAGGAGGGAGA